CACAATCAACGATTGGATGTAACAATAAACTCGCAAGACTACTCGCCTACTAGATTCTACAAGTGCGTGCTTGGCTGGGTTGTTTTGGTCGGTAAGGAGAACTTTTCTCTGTGAATTGATTCTCGGACGAGATAAAGAAAGCTCTCTAATGACTCAAGCTACTGTATGACCGTTTTTATATTTTAAATAAAACCAATTTCTTCTGATTTTAAATACGTTTTCCCCTGAATTTGTGATAATTCGTTATCACGCAAGTGCTAAATGCGTGGCACATTTATGATCGATCTCGCATATGTTTCTGCAAAATGCGTTTCATCCAAAATCACTTTGAAGTGATGCGTGACGGTTGGTAAATATGGCATAGAGCGGCCGGGACCTAGGTAAAAATTCACCTGATCGGACATAAAGACAGAGCCTTTAGTGGTGTCTACTCAGGCGATACTCTTAATGCTCATACATTCTGAGATTTTTTTAAAAACAAATACGGTACGGTACGGCATTAACGCTCAGAAATATATAAAAAATATTTTGTTTAAAAAATTCAAGAATATTGAAAACAAAATATGGTCAAGTCATATATAGGCTCTATGTTATCGTTTAGGGCCTATTAGACATTTCATGAATCTATGATATATTATAATATTGACAACATCAATAGGACATATAGGTGGAATTTTGTCCAATCCGTCGTGAAAATATACTCAGTGCGTATGAAAACATTTGCAAAAATAATACTCGCTGCTTACTTGGGCTCGAATTCAACCCTTGCCATCAGGTGCAAGCTCTGTGGTCTAGAGGTATGATGCCAGGCTAGTGATCTGGAAAACGTGGGTTCGACTCCCATTGTAGAACAACTTTCAAATATTTTTTGCAAGTGTTTTCACACGCACTGAGCATTCAGTACCGGTACATTTTCACGACAGGTTGGGCAAAATTACACATATAGGCCCTCCTAATTGATTCTCTGACGCAAATCCATGTACTGTTTATTCTATCACAATAATAACAATTACCATTTAATAATAGAACAGTCATCGACCTACTTGCAGTGAACCAGCTTTAAAATACCACAAATACAAATGTGCGTGACGATATTTTATTGCTTTAGAAATGTGATTTCAAAAAGTATATTAGGGCATCGTATACGTAAGGGCTTGTTTTGTTGTTTTTTTGGTTTTTTTTTTTACTTGCAGCGTTTGGGAAATAGGTAATAGGTAAATTGTAGTGAATATAATCAATAATTATAGCCCTTAATACCTAATATTATTGAAGGGTCCTTTTAAAGTTTAAATATGATTTTTTAAATGTTATATTTTTAGATCATAGACCTATTAAACGAGCCCCCAATAGCCCCGGGGCCCCAGTGCTGTGCACTAACTGCAGAGGGAACTAACAGAGGAGGGTTCGTCCGAACCCCTTGAACCCCTTCTGGATCCGCCACCGAGACTAAACTGACCCCATCCACGAGATCATGCGGCGTTACCGTCTCTATAATGTACAGTCTAAATTAAAAGAAGCTGCATAGGCAGTGTGACAGGATATAAAATCATAAACAACACCAGGCTATGCCCTAAACATGTCGTATCAAAAAATAAATTTCTACTGAGGCAGAACAAAACATTTTATTTTGAATTCTCAGCCTGACCTTCGCCTGGGCGAAGTGGGCGAAGGTCTGGATCCGCGTCTAGTTAGCATGAACTTTGTAAGCCAGGACCCAGCAGTATTTTGTTACGTTTCTTCACAGAACCTACCTATAATTATATATATATAAAATTGTATATAGGCATATATATATATATATATATATATATATATATCACTTATTGACGAATGTTAATATTTAATCATTTTTCTTCTACCAACAGCATATAGCCGGACATATAACTTAATGCCTATAAAAAATACTACCCTTTCATCGACAGTAAACCAAAAGCGTAAGAAATGAATCAAAACACTAATTGAGTCAGTCTAGCACATAGTTGCAATAAAGCTGAACTTTATTGCCAGCAGTAAGTATTGTAACAGTTGTAAATTATACAAAACCTGCCATAAAGCAATATTTGTACCAATGAGACAATAAGGTACCGTGCCTTTAAGCACATAATACTGCCTATTTATAACTATTAAGAAACATAGCAATGGTGAATAGGTGTTATACAAAGGCCTACGATATGTAAAGAAAAACTTGGCGCCAATGAGACTGCCTATTCATAATTATTAAGAAATATAGCAATAGTGAATAGGTGTTATACAATGGCCTACGATAGGTAAAGAAAAACTTGGCGCCAATGAAATAATGGGCTACCTGTAAAGTACAACAGGTTGTTTTGTAATTATACTTTAAAAGTAGGCCTATTTCAACTCGATCCAAAAAAAAATCTAAAAAAGCTATGAAATTGGAACGGAAAGTTCTATCAGTTACTTTGTGTAAATTTTTTGTATGTATATTTTTTTTAGTGAAAAAAAGATGCAAAAGTGCTTTACCTAATATGGATCTAAATCGATAATTGACGAGGCATCGCGTCAATAGTGACGTGGCATAATGAGGAAATACTTCAAATTCGGATTTATTTGAGATTTATTCAACAACCACTTTTAAACAGTGGCACACCCTAAACAGTGGTGCGCCCAGAATTGTACAATTACTGGTACATTACGTAAAAGAACAAGGCCAACATTCTATTAATTTATCAATTTAAATTCAGCGTTATATTGACTTTTTATTGGTTTTTATGAGTAACCCTTTCTCAAGGTATTTTTTTTATCATAATAATGCTATCGTTCAGGCCACCTCTTGCTGTAAGGTGATAGGACCCTAATGGAACATGCAGGACATTGTTGGTATTATTATAGTAAATCATATCAGTGTTATTAACAATTAATGAGGGCGCTGTTACGTTTTTACTTTTGTATCAGTGGCACACGCCAATTTGGCGGTGTGTTCAGAAACTACAATACCTAAACTAAAATTTAAAATATAAATTACAAAGATCATCAATTAAACATAAAAGCAAAATAAACAGGGAAGTAAAACAAAACAAGGTAAAATGAAATAATAGTAAAATACTTGTTCATGCAGCTACCTTGTTTATGTGTGCATGTTATAAAGGCCACACACACCCACACCCACACAATCATGCATATATCGTATATACACACACACCTGTGTACATACACACACACATGGATACAACACATATGTACTGTACATGAACACACACACACACGCACCCCTACTCATGTACACACACATATACATAATATAAAAGGTACCTAGTACAGTAATTAAAAATTCAATATACACAAAAATAAAAAAGACCGCACAACTTTCCCCAATTTTCTTTCTAAACCAAGCTGCAAAATGAAAAAACCCCCCAAAAAAAACAAAAAAAAACCTGGTTAAAATACAAAATATATTATAAGGAAAAAATAGTATGTAGTAGTTACTTCCCGTATACTCGCATATAAGGTGACCCGCGTGTAAGACGACCGCCGAATTTAAAATATTTTTGGACGATTTTAGTATTAAGAGACAGGTATGTATAGACTACATTAAAAGAACCCCCCACCCCCAAGAGTTCATAAACAGTACGCCGTCTCTAGTATTATAATCAATATATATATATATATATATATATATATATATATATATATATATATACCCCGTATATATATACCTGTATGTCACTTATTGACAAATGTTAATATTTAACCATTTTTCTTGTACCAATAGACTATAACCGGACCTATATCTTCGTGCCAATCATAAATCCTATCCTTTCATCGACAGTAAAGCAAAGGCGAAAGAAATGAATTAAACCCATATTGACTCAGTCTAGCGCATAGTTGCAACGAAGCCAAACTTTATTGTTAGCAGTAAGTATTATAACTATTGTAAATTACACAAAAGCTGCCATACATCATGGGGTAAAGAATATTATTTACACCATGCAAAATTGTACCAATGAGGCAATAAGACTTCGTGCCTTTAGGCACATAATACTGCCTATTCATAAATATTAAGAAATATAGCAATGGTGAATAGGTGTTATACAAAGGCCTACGATAGGTAAAGAAAAACTTGGCGCCAATGAGACCGCCTATTCATAATTATTAAGAAATATAGCAATAGTGAATAGGTGTTATACAAAGACCTACAATAGGTAAAGAAAAACTTGGCGCCAATAAGATAATGGGCTACCTGTAAAGTACAACAGGTTGTTTTGTAATTATACCTTAAAAGTAGTCCTATTTCAACTCGATCCAAAAAAAAAGCTAAAAAGATTATGAAATTGGAACGGAAAGTTCTATCAGCTACTTTGTGTAAATTATTTGTATGTATATTATTATTAGTGAAAAAAAGATGCAAAAGTGCTTTACCTAATATGGATCTAAATCGATAATTGACGAGGCATCGCGTCAATAGTGACGTGGCATAATGAGGAAATACTTCAAATTCGGATTTATTTGAGATTTATTCAACAACCACTTTTAAACAGTGGCACACCCTAAACAGTGGTGCGCCCAGAATTGTACAATTACTGGTACATTACGTAAAAGAACAAGGCCAACATTCTATTAATTTATCAATTTAAATTCAGCGTTATATTGACTTTTTATTGGTTATTATGAGTAACCCTTTCTCAAGGTATTTTTTTGTATCATAATAATGCTATCGTTCGGGCCACCTCTTGCTGTAAGGTGATAGGACCCTAATGGAACATGCAGGACATTGTTGGTATTATTATAGTAAATCATATCAGTGTTATTAACAATTAATGAGGGCGCTGCTGCATTTTCACTTTTGTATCAGTGGCACACGCCAATTTGGCAGTGTGTTCAGAAACTACAATACCTAAACTAAAACTTAAAATATAATTTACAAAGATCATCAATTAAACATAAAAGCAAAATAAAGAGGGAATTAAAACAAAACAAGGTAAAATGAAATAGTAAAATACTTGTTCATGCAGCTACCTTGTTTATGTGTGTATGTTATAAAGGCCACACACACCTACACCCACACATAGACTATCAAATTTTATTTGAAAAAAAACTGTTGTACGCCCATATAAGCTCATTATGTGCCTATATATGGTCATGATCTAATGGCATCATGACCATATTTAGGCATGTCACATGGTTTTGCTTTTGACAGGGCTTAAAGTTCACTCACTTTGATTCAACATCGAAAAAAACAAACGAACTACTGGCGCCCTTCACAATTCCATATACAGCAGTAGTGATATGCAACATAATAAAAACTCAATTATTTTTCACTTATAAATAGATGGTCGCATGAAGCTGATGCTTTGTCTACAGAAGTGGTTTCAGGTAAGTTTGAATTTAATTTTTTTTTAATCATTTGTCCTCATTTTACGTAATTTTACATAATTTCATTACAGGGTTTCCAAATTGAAAGCAAAGAGTCTGCTTGAAGATCTGGTTTAATGAGTTTTCTTAACACATCTACTTTTTAATTAGTGCGTGGTGATGTCCATGCTTGCTGACTTCACAGAGACAATTCTTTATACAGTAGTAAACAAAATACAAGGTGTATTCCCAATTTCTTGGACTCGAGCGAGATTAGTTTTTCTCTGCTTTCAGTATAGCCCAATATCTTAATTGAAATTGTTTTGTTCTTTCTGATAGTGATTCAAAAAACAACATGGATGTGACACTGCCCTCAACGTGGCTGTGACTCAGATAACTGCATTGTTGTTCATCTTGTCTTTTCCTACAGGTACAACTCTAATTTATTGATTAAAGTTCTTTCAAGTTGCTGCTGTTGTTGGTAGTATGTGTCTAATATATTAGCAGCGATCTTGTTATCATTTTCAATCAATTCTGGATTCAATATTGTGAGTTGATTTACATTTGTTCTTTGTCTGTTCCTCCATCGGATAAGCATTTCTAAAGTAGTTCCCACAATCTGTCTCTGAAACTTTGTATCTACATCGTCAATTTCTGCTTATGTTATTTCAAGACTCCTAGCAACAGCTTTCCAACCTCTACCCATCATCTCAGATATAACTAATAGATTAGCATCTTGAATGTACCCTGATTAAAACAAAATTAAACAAAAGTTTAAAATAAATAATAAAATATATTGGATAAATAAAAAAAAAAATGGAATGCAAATGTGTTTCCTGTTCCTTTACCCAGTCACCCAGGTAGGGATCGGGATTGCGCCAGACTGGAGACTTTCTGAAGATTTGTTGCACTTTGTAATAAAGTCTGTCACACTTTGTAATAACAGTTGCACTTTGTAATAAAGTCTGTCACACTTTGTAACAACTGTTGCACTTTGTAATAAAGTCTGTCACACTTTGTAATAACTGTTGCTTTGTAATAAAGTCTGTCACACTTTGTAATAACTGTTGCACTTTGTAATAAACTCTGTCACACTTTTTATTAAAGATGTGTATAAGAGACAGCAATTCCATATACAGCAGTAGTGATATGCAACATAATAAAAACTCAATTATTTTTCACTTATAAATAGATGGTCGCATGAAGCTGATGCTTTGTCTACAGAAGTGGTTTCAGGTAAGTTTGAATTTAATTTTTTTTTAATTATTTGTCCTCATTTTACGTAATTTTACATAATTTCATTACAGCGTTTCCAAATTGAAAGCAAAAAGTCTGCTTGAAGATCTGGTTTAAAGAGTTTTATTAATAAATCTACTTTTTAATTAGTGCGTGGTGATGTCCATGCTAGCTCACTTCACAGAGACAATTCTTTATACAGTAGTAAACAAAATATAAGGTGTGTTCCCAATTTCTTGGACTCCAGCGAGATTAGTTTTTCTCTGCTTTCAGTATAGCCTAATATCTTAATTGAAATTGTTTTGTTCTTTCTGATAGTGATTCAAAAAAACAACATGGATGTGACACTGCCCTCAACGTGGCTGTGACTCAGATAACTGCATTGTTGTTCGTCTTGTCTTTTCCTACAGGTACAACTCTAATTTATTGATTAAAGTTCTTTCAAGTTGCTGCTGTTGTTGGTAGTATGTGTCTAATATATTAGCAGCGATTTTGTTATCATTTACAATCAATTCTGGCTTCAATATTGTGAGTTGATTTACATTTGTTCTTTGTCTGTTCCTCCATCGGATAAGCATTTCTAAAGTAGTTCCCACAATCTGTCTCTGAAACTTTGTATCTACATCATCAATTTCTGCTTATGTTATTTCAAGACTCCTAGTAACAGTTTTCCAACCTCTACCCAACATCTCAGATATAACTAATAGATTAGCATCTTGAATGTACCCTGATTAAAACAAAATTAAACAAAAGTTTAAAATAAATAATACTGTGAAATAATTATTGGATGGGCAAATATGTTTACTGATCCTTTATCCATTCACTCAGGTAGGGATCAGGATTGCGCCAGACTGGAGACTTCCTGATGATTTTGCATTATTGTTTTGACATTTAAACTTATTTCTATTATTTAATCAAAGTAAAAATAGTTTCTGAATAACCTGTATTCTACACAGATTTAAGGTTCCTATGTGCATGATACAAGTGATTTGTAACCATGCTGTATAAATGACCATTATTATTATTATTATTATTATTATTATTATTAAAAGTACATAATAAAATATTGGATACATTTTAAAAGAACATAATTTTAAATATTTTGTATCAAATTTATTTTCACCAACCTCGTACTAGTCAATGTTTTGCTGAAACTTGAGGTAGATTTGAAGCAGCATTGAGGTCACCTTTGTTACCACAGCTTTCACACAATTGTTCCGCAAGTTGAACGAGTCCCTGTTCTCTCAACGCCAGAGTTTCCATGACGCCATCTTTCAGTGTGTTGTTGTCTGCTATGCCATTAATCTTGTTCCATTCAAGTCCAAGTGGCACTCCTAGTCTCCTCCAATCAGAGCCCACAGCTTCACAGATGAACAGCAGGTCTTGGTCGTCAACAGATGCTGGTAACCAAAGAAATAAAAAATGGAAAAATTATTAATGATTTCTCGTGAAATCAGGAAACATTTAAAAAACCCAATCCATGATTTAAAAGTATCAACAAATAGGTTTTTTTAATGGAGTTAAATTGTCTGTTATCTTTCCAATAATTTGCATAATTTACTGAACCCTGACACTCACGAATCCAACTCCGCTCCCTGTGGGTTCTCCATGGCGCAACGCCGTCTGCCGATTGTTGGTGGCAGTCTTAACAGGTCTTCATTAAAAGTATCCATTGCGCGTATGTCGTGTTATTGCATTCTCCATGGAATCTTGGTGGCTGACAACCATTGAGTGTAGTGAGCGCTGAGCTTTACCTATCCATCCAATATTTTAAATTCTAATTCTTTTCTTCAATTTCCTTTTTAAATAAATCCTTGCCGAGCCACAGATGTTGCGTCGCACTTTGTAATAACTGTTGCACTTTGTAATAAAGTCAGTCACACTTTGTAATAAAGTCTATCACACTTTGTAATAACTGAGCTGTCCCATTTTTTGTGTAACTGTTCTGTCACACTTTGTAATAAAATGAGGCATGTCATGGCAAAATGGTTAAGTTGTCGCACAGGCCTGTATTGAGTAAATGAGCTATAAAATATGGGAGCTCAAAAAATTGCCTAAAAATCCAAATTTGTTTTTCACTATAAATCAACAGTTTATGTCTTATTAATCATGTACCAAAGTATTAGTTCTGAAAGTGGTCAACAAATTGTTTATTTAATGTTATTTTGATAGTTCATTCTATTAAACAATGTATGCACAAATAACTTTGAAAGGAAATTACTCAAAATCATGTTTATCTTGATTCTAAGAGTACTGTACTTTCACTTTCCAATAACTTTGGTTTGAAATGTCCAATTTGAATGAATGACCCCCTCATTTTAAAGATCACATACTCAGGTATCTGAAAATACCAATAACTTGAATTTTAATTTTTGCTACAACTTAGCCATTTTGCCACAACATGCCTCAAATGAGTTGTCTCAATTTGTAATCAACTCAGTTGCTGTCTGTAGTAAAACGCGATCTATATTATATTCTATAGATTTTAAGGGGATCAAATTTGATTTTTTTTTTCCCCGTTTCATATTATATCATAAGTATCTTGTTCACCAACATCAATCATGATTGCTCTATTCCAGCCTCCAGCAGTTTGGCTATTGTTTATTAAATATAAATATTAAAGCTATCTGTTTGTCTTCAGCCTAAAACACTTTTACAAAATATTCCAATTTTTAAATGTTCAATTGAATAAAAAGAAACCAGAAATTACTTTATTTAACACATAAAAACACCATTCTATGTGCATGTAACCTTAAATTTGCTAATACTAATAATCAATATAAGTTCAGACTAAATTATGGTATGTGTTTCATTGAAAGTAATAATTTATGTAATCTGTTTATGAGTACAGTAATTCAATGTTTTTTTTATCTTTTATTCTTGGTTTAACTGGAAGTATTTTTGAGTACAGTAATTAAATTTGTTTTTTAGCTTTTTTTATTCATTGTTTCACTACATACACTAATGTACATCATTAATATTTATACCTATAGTTTCAGAAAAAAATTTTTCTATTAATTTTTTGTTTTTGCAGTTGTTCCCATGTTAAGTTACAGTGTGATATCATGATGAGTACCTTGTCCACCAACATCAAGCATGATTGCCGCATTCCAAACTCTAAAAAATTACACCCACCCTTTCATTTGTTTGGATTTTGAGCTCTCCATCATTGTCTTTAATTTTTTTAGCAGCATCTGTAAGGTGTTCGAAAGATTTTCATTGATTAAATATGTTTCTACAATAAGGGATACAATTTTGAGTCTGCATATATTATGGTTACCATGTATATATCGTGACACAGCCAGCAACAATTTTCAAGCTAACATTTGCAATTTGTGAGGATATTATTTAAGATTCTTTTTAGATTGCAAATAAAGAATTAAATTTCTGTCTACAACAAAAGTACAAAATGAAGAGTCATATAACAAAAGTTATGTCCGCAGCTATTAGGTACGTGATGCATACTAAAAAGACGGATGTAGACTTTAATTATTAATATTATTTAATATTTTTTGCTGTTGAATTTTAAACAATCAAAATAAATAAACAAAAGAAAGTATGTGTCTAGTCTATCATGTTGTTAGCCTCTATTCATTTTAAAATTAACAGAGAATTTTCTTGGGCTAGACCTATACTATATTTCACTGAATGACTGTAAAACGTTAACCCTTTTGGAAATGGGCGAGAGAATATGTTATGTTTAAAATCTTCTAACGTTAGTTTAAGGAGGGCTGGTCGTCCTAATGCAAAATTTGGCAAATAAATATCTCAAATAAAAAATTTCAAGATTTCTTTTACAGAATTACAATTAATTAATACTATTTAGGTAATGATTTCAAAATGGTAAAATAAAACTAGTTCTGAAAATTTTTTTTATTGTGCTTTTACGATGGTCGTTTTTCTGATTTTCTTATAACCGTAGCCGGGTTAGTGTAGAAACAGACTGAGCCTTGAAATTAGGCCCAGTTTAGCATTTCATTGTGATTCTGTACATTTTAATTATGTGTGTTTTTATATGCGTATTACAAGTGTAACTATATTTCAATAAAGTTTTGGAGTGGTATCTTGTTTTGATTACAAAATTAACAGTAATGCATGTGTTGTTACATAGTATTTTTTGTTTGTGATTATGAAATAATTACCTGATCGGTGTTAAGCCTCTACAAAGTGATGACGTAACACAAAGGCTCTGCACTAACAAAAAATACCAATATACATAATATCAATATTCATCTATGTATAATTAAAATTACATCCAAGGTAATTATAATACTAATTTTATTCAAGACAATTAGAATATTTTAGAACTCTAATCACTGTGGGAGTCTCTATGTAATTTCAATAATTTTTATAAACAGATTACAATAAAATGTGAAATTTTGGGACCAATATTGTCTTTTAAAATATTTGGATGCAATTCAGGATGTGTGTCTACTGCTTTAACTGTGATTTTTGTATTGGTAGGAATTAAAGTGTGATATAGTCCATATTCTAGAATGTTGCTATGGTGTGGTAGCCTCAAATGTGGGTGGTAATAGAATTAGGTCCTTCGATGTATGTAAGTGTTGTCGGGTTAAATCATAACTTAAATCACTTTGCATAAAACTTTCATATTTTAGTATAATTTGAATTGAAAAAAAAAAAACAGATTTTAATAAATTATTCTTGTAACTAAGCATTCATTTATGTTGGGTTGCATTTTATGAATATCAATGTTTTCTAGTTATTGAAAAAAAGTAATCATAATGTTAAAATATATAATAAAACCCATATTCATATCCACCTATTACTTCAGAGTCAAAAGAATAATATCAGTTTACTAATTACAGGTTAGATGAGTATAATATTGTGAGTTTCCAAGTTTGCTACCAGCCAACATAGAAGATGATCACACTATAAATGATGTAACACAAAGGCTCTGCACTAACAAAAAATACCAATCGCCTTGTAAGAGCTTTTCTTCCGCAGTGAAACAATGGTGTACAAAGACTTTACTACAAAGTGTGACAGTTATTACAAAGTGCGACGATTATTTTGAAGTGCACGCAACAAAGAGGGCTCATATGAGCTGAAGTTATCCCCAGTTTAAAGTTGGGTAAAGCAGATGAATGTGTAATGGTCCGCCCTGGGTGGGATGCTGGTCCACCGCAGGTTAACTCCCAGCAATTTGCTGTTACCCATTCATAAAGTTGGGTAGACTGAAGCAATGTAGATAAAGTGCCTTGTTCAAGGACGCAAGTGAAATTCACAGCGAATTAATTGAAACCCCAACCTCCATGTTGGAAACCCAAACCAATTCCACTGCATCAAACTGCCTTACATAACTTAAATTCTATTTTTCTGGTTTATAATTTTGTACCTTTTCTTTATTATCTGGTTTCTCCTTGTTGATTGACAACTCATCTTTAGATGGAAGGATGATTCGTTCTGTGACTTGTGACTTGCTTCCTTCTTTTCTATCACCTGATTTATTACCATACTTCAAATAAAAAAATTCATAATAATTTAATAACTATTAAATTATAAATGAATGCTAAGCTTAAATCAACAATTAATATTCGTACAAATGTGTCGTCGATGCTATCATGTGTTGTGGGTTACATCTTATTCTGCAGTATCGGAGATGGGGTGGTTATGAAATTGTGGTATCAACAATTGAAGCATAGAAAACTTCAATAATGATAATATTCATATTGAGCATAATTCAACAATGAATATTCATAGAAAGCTTTAGTCAAACTATGAATATTCATAGAAAGCTTAAGTCAAACTACAAACATTCATAAAAAGCTAAATTCAAACCATGAATATTCATAGAAAGCATCAAACTATGAATTTTCACAAAAAGCTTAATTTAAATTACAAATGTCCATAGAAAGCTTAATTCAAACTATGAATATTCATAGCAAGCTAAAGTCAAACTATGAATATTCATAGTAAGGTTATAATGATGAATAACCTGAGAATCTTCCTTGTTGTGCCAGTAGACCTTGATAAACCTATTGTTGAGGACAGCTTCAGTACATCCAATTGCACTTAGAGAGCTTATGCACTAGTAGCAAACGTAATCAAAGCTGCCGTTGGGTCACCATCAAATGCAACCTGTAATTAAATAAGTAAAGAGGGGTTAAATCACTATAAAATGTCATTTAGGGACAATATACATAATATCAATATTCATCTATGTATAATTTAAATTACATCCAAGGTAATTATAATACTAATTTTATTCAAGACAATTAGAATATTTTAGAACTCTAATCATTGTGGGAGTCTCTATGTAATTTCAATAATTTTTATAAACAGATTACAATAAAATGTGAAATTTTGGGACCAAAATTGTCTTTTAAAATATTTGGATGCAATTCAGGATGTGTGTCTACTGCTTTAATTGTGATTTTTGTATTGGTAGGAATTAAAGTGTGATATAGTCCATATTCTAGAATGTTGCTATGGCGTGGTAGCCTCAAATGTGGGTGGTAATAGAATTAGGTCCTCCGATGTATGTAAGTGTTGTCGGGTTAAATCATAACTTAAATCACTTTGCATAAAACTTTCATATTTTAGTATAATTTGAATTGAAAAAAAAAACAGATTTTAATAAATTATTCTTGTAACTAAGCATTCATTTATGTTGGGTTGCATTTTATGAATATCAATGTTTTCTAGTTATTTAAAAAAAGTAATCATAATGTTAAAATATATAATAAAACCCATATTCATATCCACCTATTACTTCAGAGTCAAAAGAATAATATCAGTTTACTAATTACAGGTTAGATGAGTATAATATTGTGAGTTTCCAAGTTTGCTACCAGCCAACATAGAAGATGATCACACTATAAACAATTCTTAGTCGTAACTTACCGTTGTAGTCCCTACACCGTGGCTTTCTATAGATTTTGATGCACTGGACGATCATGATTGCTTCTATCGTTACCGCGTTGTGTGCCCTTGTTGCGTCCTCCTCCACAAAAGCCTCCTCCACTTTGTGGTCTGTTATTGCCGGATCCACTTTCCAGATTCATGACAACGCTGATGCCGTCTGGCATGTTACTGAGATGGTCAGAAGAATCCATGTGCTGGTTGTTTGCCGATTGGTCTTGGTTCCTGTAAATGTCTCAACCTCTCCCTGAAATACACATAATTTAATTGTTAAATACTGCCACTTGTTTACGCTACATGTAAAATGAATGTTATTAGATTTGATTCAACACACTTAAAACGGCTGCACTCTGGTAAGGTATGCCTGCAATTTAGTAAAAAAAGACTGAACTTTAGCGAGATTTAGCTACTCTTTTAGTGAAATGGCTGCACTCTGGAGGGGCATGGCATTACTCAGTAGTCTGACTAACATTTAGTGAGACTTAGCAACTCTTGTTGTGGCAAGCTTGTGTGGAGGGGCATGGCTTTACTCAGTAGTAATACTAACATTTAGTGAGACTTAGCAACTCTTGTTGTGGTATGCCTGTGTGGTGGGGCTAGGCTTTAACACTAGTACGGTGAGCCTGAATCCCCACCAGAATGCTGCTCAATGACAACTTGCTGTGGTACATTCAAAAACAATAAAACAATTACAGTACATCAAACCTAAAGCCCTGTCCAGACTATCAATTTTATTGGACAAAAACATGTCACATGCCTAAATATGGTCATGATGGTATCTCATTATGACCATATATAGGCATATCATGACTATATATGGACATACAAAGTATAAATACAACTCTACAACAGAATAGCTAAGACCAGCGTAACTGATGTGAACATTCCATTTCTTGTGTTCCTTTTGTGTAAATTTTCTCTAGAAGCATTGTTTTGTATTAAGTGCTCTACAAGACTAACATTCTTATTACTCAAACATACAATTTGTTGATTACAAATGGTGGTCCAGTAACATTTGAACGAGACATCGAAAACCCTACCTGACCCACACAAGCGGAATACAATGAAGAAGCAAGAATTGCAACAGAAATGGGTGATATCCAGTTCAAAAAACTTAAACTTGTGAAAGACCAGAAATTCGCTAAGCTCATACAGTAGCTCTAAAACTGTTGTCAACCTGTCCATGCACACTAATCCTCTACAGAATTGCCGTCCTACAAAAAGGAATAATTGTTCTGTCTGTCAACCCAGCTTGATAAGATCAAATTATGTGGTGAACTTGAAGCGTACTTCACACATCTTCGTATGGAAGAATTTCACCACAATGAACATAACACTGACGAGGCTCAGGATACCAATTCTAAACAGGTTTCCAATCCTACACAGCCTACACCGACTTTGCTCACAACCTAGAAACGAGACACTCTGTGGACGCCCCTGGCTGCACGGAATGCTAAACTTGACCTCTACATCAATTGTTTTAGGGATAGAGTACGATCCGAGATAATCAACAAAGAGACAAAAACTCAACAAAATCTTTCTCGCTCTGAACAAAAGGCCATCAAGAGTCTCAAAGAAAACAAATATATAACAATCAAACGAGCTGCTAATCGAGGAGCCATCATTTTATTAGACACCACTGATTACATACAAGAAGCTGATCACCAACTTTCTTACTCTGATAACTACATGAAGCTTGCATCTGAACCCTCATCTAAATTAAAATGTGAATATATAAGCCAATTTCAAGGGCCTCCCTGATGAACTGCGTACCCACTTAGAGCACTTAACACCGTAGCAACCGCAACCACAAACTTTCTATCTGCTTTCAAAATTTCACAACGCTAATAACCCAGGATGCCCCATTGTATGTGGTAATGGTACAATAACAGAAGGAGTCTCCAAGGATGTCGACTCACTACTTAACACCAAATGCCAGCCTCTGCTAGCTACTTAGAGGACACAACAGACTTTCTTAAATGAAACTTAACAATATCAAGAGCCTGATAATACCTTACATGCAATGGATGTTACGTCGCTATAAAATATAGCCACCAAAACAGACTGAATGCTATTGAGCACACCCTGCCATGTGACATTTCTCGCAACATTAGTAGTAGTAAGGTAAATTTATTCCATAATAAAACAAACAAAATGTACATTTCAGATTCAAGAACAATGGAAAAGTAAGCTCAAATAAAGCAAAGCATAAAGCTGAGACCCTTGTAAAAGAATTAATACAAAATATTTAGGAAAACATTAAGATTATCTTATAGAAAATAAATAAATAATTAAAATGTTTAAAAATATAAGAATAAAATAAAAAATAAGTAAATAAATAATTATATAAAAAGAAACACAACCATTATATATTTTATTTACAAGATAAGTACCTAAAACAGTAGACTGGGTTCCAGTCCCTAATCTTTGTCTTAATCAGTTGAAATGCTTATAGAATAAATCGATTTTGGCACAAATGGCGTTCCATATTACTTATTTGCATGGCATTCCATAGTATACTTTTTCTGGGATACGCTGGTGGCGCTTTCCGAAATGCGCTAATGTACTACGAAAAATCCATAAATTAGAGACTTGTGGCAAGTCTATTAAAACAGATATATGGACCTGAATATGAAATATTGAGACATTTTTGCAATAATAATTAATACCAGGGGCAGTAGTTTTTAAATGATTTAAGATTCACCTCTGTTAGACAAGAAAGAACTGAAAGCATCAGCTTTTTCTTTATTACTTTTGTAGATAGCTCCCTCACTTTGCGGCTCCTGGGGGATCTGATTAGCATGTTTTTTACCAATTCAGTGCCCATTGTTTCATACCACATTTTATTATTAAGTTCATTAACAAAGGACTGAGTAATTGATTGAGTGAAATTTCGTTTAAAAATGTAGTTGAGAAACTTTGGATTAAGATTATTACTAGATCAATACAAAAAACAGGGAAGTGATCAGAAAGGTTGGAGTTTATTATACCGTTTTGTGTTTCTGAAGGGGAAGAATTAGTATAAATGTTATCAATGAGAGAGGCACGTTGTTCGCCGATTCTAGTTGGTTTGCTAATTAATGGCTGAAATGAATATAAAAATAAATTGTCTACATACGCTTGTATATCATGGTCATCAGAATGTTGAAGTAAATCAATGTTCATATCACCAATCAGATAGATTTTTTCTTTTCCTTATTAATTATGTTCAAAACATTAGAAAGTTGGTCATTAAATAAATTGCGGCATTGATCTGCAGGATGATAGATAACTTTGCAAATAATATTTTTATTATTTTCAGCCTGAATTTTAACAAATAGCGATTCAGCATCCATTATAATTTGGGATTGATCAAGCAGAATTTTGAAATTAAATGTATCTAATATATACAAAGCTACTCCTCTGCCTCTCCTATCAGTTCTATCTGTGTGTATAAAATTGTTGTTGTAATTTAAACTATCGGTCCCGTAGTAGTTAAGGGAAACCAGTAAACCAGATATTTGTGAGGTCTCAACACGAAATGAGACGCATCGTTGGTAAAATGATATTGAGATATTCACTAAAATAGGTCAAAGGCAACATTTTGATACTTATATTTTATGATTGTGTACTTTTTAAGTGAATTTTCTTACTAAAAAACAGTGTTCTCTTCACATATTCTGCAATTCTAGTCCTATTATTTGTACAAGTTATAGTTTATCTTTGAGGCCGATATTCTCAAAACCTGGTTCTCATACACCTAAACTTAAAATGCTCACATCTCTGGATCTATTTATCCTCTAGGGAAGCCATTCAAAGACCAAATTAAAGCTTTTTTAATGTGATCTACCAAAATGTAATATAAACTCATTTTTTGATTTTCTAACAATGAGACTCATTTTGTAGTGAGACGTACCTCACATTAATATTCTAAATTATACCCCTATCTAACCTCCGGATCTAGACCTACATTTTAACCAGGTTTAATATGGCCGTTTAATATAGGCTTACAGCTCAATGGGCAATCTTTAGCCCAGAATAGCTAGCCTAGCCTACCTTCACCTTAGGCTTAGCCCTTAGTAGTAAGAGGAGTACAGTAGGCGCCTGCCAGGGGCTTGTGGCCTAGGCCTAGGCCTAGGTAGGCTACTACAGTCGGTAGTGTAAAAAAGGCCTAGCCTAGCCTGGGCCTAACCGCGAGGGTTGATTTTTCAGTTGGTTTTGTACAGATGGATAAAAGAAATAAAAATAATATAAGAGATGTTTACTCACGAATATATATATTTTATTATTTATTAACGTATTCGCTAGCCGACTGTTTATCATTAGGCCTAGGCCCCTATGTGAAAATGCATGATGCGATCACGATGATCGACCGTCGATGGCAGCAAACATTTACTTCTAGAGTGGCGCAAAGAGCAGGGTTGCCATTTGGCCTTTTTGACGGCCAGATTCCTCTATCTGGCCGTATAAAAATTTGCCTGGCCATAACTTTTGAAAAGTCAAATATTATTATTTTATATGAAGTTTATCCTCGATTAAGTTTTATGAAGACAGTTCAATGCAAGTTTGTACCATATATTGTGTGTGTTTGCATATGTTCCATCCTAGTCAGGCCTGTAGCCAGGGGGGTTTTATGGTTCGGGCGAATCCCCCTTTTCTAGCGAACCCCCTCGAATTTTTGAATGAGTCCCACTTGGACGGAATGTGTGTTTTTAACTTACCCAGCATTAAATCAAAATTTAGCACCTAATTCATTATTTGGTCACCCGTTTTTAAATTCTAGCCTGCGATACAAGCCTTCATTCATAGAATATCTCGGCTTCAGAAGTTCGGAGATTTAAATTTAACGCAACTCCGTCAAACCATGAATTTACGATGGCTCACATATAAGGATGTATAAACATGGCAAACATCGATAAAAACTCGGCTCCCGTCTCAACTTTGACTGGCCTTTGCCTGAATGTTTAAGATTCACCATTTTATTATTATTATTATTATCATCACCATCATCGTCACCATTCACAACATTCCTGTAGACCAAACCCAGTACCGTTACGATGTTTAATTGTACGGGAAATCCACTCACGATGCAGTACCGTTACGATTTATAATCGTACGGGAATCAACTCACGAAATATTTTCTAATTTTATTATATTAATTTTTTATATTCATTTTATGTGGTGAAATTGATTGTCTAAGGGGCCACAATGGAAATAAGTTTTTATACCTTCTTGGGTTACCATTGTTCTTAATCATTACTTGTTGTTTGTTTTTGTTTGTATTAAGAAATTTGTGATTTTAATTCTTGAATGAAATGAAATGAAAATTGTTTGCAATTATATGTTTTCCTAATGATTTCTGTTCTATTTATAAGTCGATCTATTGTTTGCAATAATAATAACGATATTAAACTGTTAGCTTGCAGAATGTTCACGAAGAAGGCGCGACGCCCGACCACACCAACTGTGCTCTTGTTGGGGACATGCTCTCAACGCCCGGGACAATGGACTGCCCGTCTCCCTAAAAAGGCTTTATGAAAAATGAAAAAATGTGTTTAAATATAGGCCTTTATATAAAAATATATAAATATCAATTAAATATATATAATATTTATATAGGCCTATTTATATATTTTAATATATTAAAATTCTTTTTTCACTTGCTTTAGTAGTCAATTTCGCCTAATCCGTGCACTGTTCCCTGGTTTAACGAATATGCTGAAACATAATTGATTTTTTTAATTTCAATTGATTTTTTTTATTTCAATAATTTCATTTATTTTGTCTCAACACACAAAACAGTTTCAAACTCAGGAAGACAGGATAACCAAAAGTATACTAAAATACTGTCAAGTGGCTCTCCAAACACGAACGAGAGCGGTTAATGATGATTTTTAATCCTATTAAATCTTAAATTTAAGACTACTTAAGATTCACCATTTTATTATTATTATCATCATCATCATCATCATCGTCACCATTCACAAAGTTTCATTCAGATCGGTTTTGATTAGATTTTTTCTATATATGTTCTGGGACGTTTTCCTTTGAATTGTCTTCATATCCACACCCTACTCCGGATCGTCAACAACATTTAGTCATTTCTTCATTAGACCATTACAAACTATTATAGAAAGTTTCCTTTTGACCCATTGATTAAGGTTTTGAGATATTTACGTCTGGGGACGTCAGAAATTTAAATGACCCTCAAATTTCCACCCTAATCTGGATCGTCACCAAAATATAACAATTTCTTCTTTGCGACTTGATGGGGTTTGCACTGTGTTTTGATGGAGTTTGCAGGGTTTAGCAATTTTCTTATACAAAAAATGGTCTTTTAACCCCAAAAATAGGTTGTGACGAACATAAAATTATGATTTTTTTTTAATTGAGATACCAAATTGAGTCCTATACTAAGTGATTCAATCATTATCACAGGTTTTGGATGGGGTTTGCACTCTGTGTTTTGGGGGGTTTGCGAGGTTTAGCATTGTTTTGATACAAAAAATGGCATTTTTGCACAAAAAGTAGGTTGTTACGAATGGAACATTACAATTTTTTTAAACTTATATATCAAGTGAGTCCTATACTACATGATTCAATCACTATCACAGGGTTTGGATGGGGTTTGCACTGTGTTTTTGGAGGTTTGCGGTGTTTTTTTTAGGCATTTTTAACAAAAAATTAAGATTATACCGCAAGGTTGTTATGAACATAACATTTATTGACTAAGATACCAAGTTGAGTCCTATACTGCATGATTCAATCACTATCACAGAGTTTAGATGGGGTTTGCACTGTGTTTTTGGGAGTTTGCAGGGTTTTTACAGAAAAAAATGGCATTTTTACCCCAAGAATAGGTTGTGACGAACATAAAATTATGATTTTTTTTGAGATACCAAATTGAGTCCTATACTATGTGATTCAATCATATCACAAGGTTTGGATGGGGTTTGCAGTGTTTTTTTTGGAGGTTTGCAGGGTTTAGCAATACCCTTGAAATTAGCGCCCTGACTTATCTATTCAGGTAATTGCTAAACCCAGCATACCTCCAAAAAAAAAACACCGCAAACCCCATCCAAACTCTGTGATAGTAATTGAATCACATAGTATAGGACTCAACTTGGTATCTTAATAAAAAAAATCTGAATTTTATGTTCATCACAACCTATTTTTGGAGTAAAAAGGGCATTTTTTGTATAAAAAATTGCTAAACCCCGCAAACCCCCAAAACACAGTACAAACCCCATCCAAATCCAGTGATAGTGATTGAATCATGTAGTATAGGACTCACTTGATATATAAGTTTTAAAAAATTGTAATGTTCCATTCGTAACAACCTACTTTTTGGGCAAAAATGCCATTTTTTGTATAAAACATTGCTAAACCCCGCATACCTCCAAAAAAACACCGCAAACCCCATCCAAACTCTCTGATAATGATTAAATCACATAAGTATAGGACTCAACTTGGTATCTCAATAAAAAAAATCCAAATTTTATGTTCGTCACAACATATTTTTCAGGTAAACTGAGTTTTAATTACTTAATTTATTAACTTATTAGCTTTCGATTTGAAAATTATGATAAGAATATTTCCCTCTCAAATTCAGAGATAGGCCTACAATTTATAAGACAAGTTAATATATCATTTCGTAAAACCTTACGTTAGCTGGTAGTAATTTTAAATTTAAAAAGCAGAATACTGTAAC